CCAGCATTCCTCCTCCAGTCATGTTAGCTCAGGAATTCTGTTGAAGTCCACAAGTCTTAAACTTGCCAAGTTTGAAGACCCTTGATCTAAGCATTCTGCTTGCCAGTAAGCATGAATACCTTCAGTTCATCAACAGTCACAGAAATATCTGAAAAATACAGCTTGAAGTTTAATACCTCAAAAACCAAGATCATGGTCGTCCACAAACAACCCATTAATTTACCACCAATAACTTTGGAAGGAATACCATTAGAAAAAGTTGGATCATGTACCTCAGTTCTAATTTACGTGAAAGCTGGACTATGACCACTGAAGTAAAGGCAAGGATAGAGAAAGCTCGAACAGCATTCTTCGAAATGAAAAAGGTCTTCTGCAGTCACGACATAAGCCTAAGATTGAAAATCAGGCTTGTCAGATGCTACATCTTTCTATCCTTCTCTATGGAGTGGAGAGTTGGTCTTTGACAGAAAGCCACTTGAAGAGACTAGAAGTATTTGAAACGTGGATTTACAGGCGGCTCTTATGTATAAGCTGGGTTGACAAAATCAGAAATGAGGAGGTGATAAGCCACCTGGGAAAGCCAAGGGAAATCATCAAAACCATAAAAAAGCAAAAGTTAGAATATTTCGGACATCTTATGAGACACCCAGAAAAATATGGCATACTTAAACATCCAAGGAAAGACTGAAGGCAAACAAGATCCAGGTAGAAGAGCAACATCATGGCTTCAAAATCTAAGGGACTGATTTGTACAAAACTCAACAGCACTTTTTTCATGCGGCTGTTGATAAAAATAGGATCGTCAACATGATCGCCAACGTCCAATGACAGATATGGCACAAGAAGAAGCATGTTGAGATATAACTTATCTGTAGAGATCTACCTGGGTTTTTCTCCAGCCTCCCAGACTTTGCACATTACAGGCACTCAGTACAGGCACTCCAAGAAAGGTCTGCTTTTAATAGGCAGATCTACAGAGCTTCTATGAAACACCTCCAACCAGAACGGATGCCACCTCCATTCCCAGGGCACAAAGTCTCTCTTCTTTGTAACTCCACTTTGACACAGCAGGATCCACCATCAGAAACTGTCTGGAGCCACCTCAAAGTCATGTTCTCCTTAAACTTGCTTTGCCGACCAAGCTACCACACTGGATTAATGCACAAGACTATATTTACCAAAGTCAAGCGGAAGGCTTTATCTTTTAAGATAAAGTCAACTCAGTGGGAGAGAGTATATTTTACAGGAATCTCAACTGGAGGAGCATGATTTCAAACCATTTTCTATACCCATCCCATTGACTGTGAAACAATATACTATTTTGGGACACAAAGATTAGCAGCTTGCAAATATGCACTCCACACGAGAGCAGATAACTGATGAATCAGTGTGCTCATGTTGCTAGCACATAGTATGCGGACAGTCATGCATGTGGCCAGTGATTACTAATTCAATCCTCAGTTAATCATCATTTATCACCATCGATTTCTATATGAAAAGGGTTCAGCCAAACATTTAAAAGGGTTATGGACAATTTATTCTACTCAGGAAGCCTCAAAGGGAACAAACTGACCAGTGTCCTATGTCGATGGCAAGAATTGCCCGCACATTACTCAACAATTGTTCTGAACACAGGTTTGTACTGATTGACTATTAAGCTTTAGTCACGCTTCTCTCCCTACCCCCTTCATTTGAGCCCTTTTGAGAATAAAGGCTACACCCCATCTTTGAAGAAATTGGAAAAGCAGCAACTTAATACTGGAAGACCTTGATGTTTTCACTATCAACATTCCTGATTGTGTGGATAAGGGCTACCCCATTCTGGTATGCAACGATCCATGCAGTCAGTTAGCATAGCAAAGAATGGAGATTTTTGTACCAGTATCTGAAATATGTTTGAATGAGTGGTGCGATAGCCTAAAGATGGAGCTCTCACCTCACAATCGGAAGGCTGCAAGTTTCAATCCTAGATGGCAACAGATATTTCTCTCTCTGGGAGCAATGAGAATATATCTGCTGCAAACACCACATTGGTGACAGGAAGGGCATTTGGCCGTAAACACTCAGCTCCATTCAGCTGCGCAGACTCCACACCGATGCAAGAGATTATGGGGTCATTAAAAGACAAAAAAAGAAATCTGAAATGTATTTGAATATTAACCAACAGCCCAATTTTTTTATCTCTTGACTGCCATCTAGCAGCCATTTGGATTGTTGCAATCCAGCTATAGTAACCCTATGGTTACTTTCTCCACCTCTGGTGAATACTATCTGTATTCAATACTATTTTTTTCTGAGACTTGTGCCAGTGAGACTTGGAGGGCATCAGCAAGAGACATGATGTCTTCCAATTAAGATGCCTTTGCCGAATCCTAAAGATTCACTATTTTGACTGTTTCTAACGAAGAAGTGCTCCAAAAGAGTTTCTCCTGCGAACTACATAACAGTCGCACGCAGAAGATTCCAGCTGGCTGGTCATATTCTCCGATGGAAAACAATTGAATCCCCAAGATGGCGGTGAGATGGACCTCACTGATGCCAAACGGCCAAGAGGACGTTCCCAAAATATGTGGCGAAGGATGTTCACAGAAGACCTAAAGACTCTAAACATGACGTGGGAAGTGTCTATGGAGATTCCCAATCATCCAGGTCATGGTTGCCCCAAAGGTGGTTTTTCAAGAGGCAACTGGATTTCCTTTGTTTTTCCTTGAAGATGTTTGGCTTCTCATCCAAGAAACTTCTTCATTTCTGACAGAAATGTCAGGTGAGAAGCGAAACGTCTTCAAGGAAAGACAAGACGCTGAAGTATTCATCCAAGAGATCCCTTGCTGCCTGGTACGCTACATAGCATGAGAGGATCTAATGCTAATGCTAAAACTGTTCTGAGCTGGAATGTTTGAAGGCCTACATAACACATTCTGAGTTGATCCATAGAATCAAAATGGCTGCTTTTACCAGGCCAGAGATATCACTTCTGTAGTTGGTTTCCCTCATTTAAATGGAATGGAATCAAACAGATGGCTGTTCTCCCTTGTCCCCAACATGAGCTACTCAGCAAGGCCTGTCTTTCCAAATCAGTTGAAGTAAACTTCCATCCCCCAGCCATTTCATGGGATAAAAGCTGAGTGTAGGATGTTTACATGAACTAACAAAATGAAATTTGATGTAGACAAAAGTGAAGTCTTACACTTAGGCAAGAAAAAACAAAAGTACACAGACTGGAAGAAATCAGGTTTAATAGCAGTGACTGTGAGAGGGATCTTGGAGTCTTAGTGGACAGCCAATTAAATGAGCCGTTAATGTGCAGTGGCAGCCAAAAAAGCCAATGCTATCCTTAGCAATCCTAAGTTGCATTAACAGAGGGATACAATCAAGAAGGTCATGAAAGGGGTGTCACGTGACCTTAGGACACAGCAACAGTCGTTAAGTATGAACCAGTTGCCAAGCATCTGAATTTTGATCACATGATCATGGAGATGCTGCAAAGGTTGTAATTGAAAAATGGCCGCAAGTCACATTTTTCAGTGCCATTGAGAATTTGAACAGTCACTGGTTGCGCTCTTGTAAGTCGAGGACGTTTAAAGCAACAAATACTTTTGTGATGACCCGGGGTACGGCAGAAAGGCAACACAGTCAGATAATCAGTAGGAGTCCCTTTATTAGCTCTAACTTTGCCCCTAATGTCCTGGTTATCTTCAGGCTGGAGAAAAACTCTCCCAGGAACAGCCTGTGGCTGCAGAAATGTGGTCAAGTCCAAAATGTGGTAAAAAAAAACTGTAACTATAAGTCCAATCAAGGCAAAATGAGGTAATTAGTCTGGCAGGGCAACAGAAGGAATTCCAGAGGTGAAGACACGGCAATAACTCAACATGGTCAGGAAGATGCCAGGAACACAGATAACTAAAGTCAACATAAGATAAACTCACATTTGCTCCCAGCAGCTGCCGCACTCAGCATGTGTCAACTCTCATTCCCAGGTGTGGCTAATGAAGGGAATCAGGGCCCTTTCCTCCCCCGTAAGCCACGCAACCCATGTTGCTCTCTCCTTCATTCCTCCCTGCGTGCCCTAGGAAGAAGAGGGGGTGGGCCTGAGTCTTCCTCTGAACTCCCTCCCTTGTTCTACCTCTTCCCTGCTCTGTCCAGCCAGACTTTGCCCTTCCCCAGTTTCCTCTACAGCCAACAGAGCCACACTCCCACTCCGTCAGCTGTTCGTCTTCCTCCTCAGATTCGAACTCCGACAGGGTCATGACGTACTTCTGCAAATAGCGGGGCAAAAATGGGTTCTGTACTTTTTTCTTCCTTTAATTATTTATTAGGTTTTTTTAACGCCGAAGAACATATTTAAAAAACAACATCACAGCAAGAACAAAGGAATAGTAATTGAACTCAGCCACTAAATAAAACAAGTAGGTTTCTGTAAACCAAAGATTTAGTAGAGCTAACAGAAGCATGAGGATAAGCCAAGACATGATTAACTCGGTGGGTCTTTCCTTGGGCTACTCGGAGTCTCCAAAGTACCCAAAGATGAGCTATAACTTTAATAATGAATAATATTAATGATATTTTGTCCTTCCAACTAAAGGAGGATAATGATAACGGTATTTAAGTAAGGCTCTGTTGGAGCTGCCCCAAAATATTAACCTTTTGAATTTATATCAAATCTGATTTGCAATTGGTCATCACCAGTTCTTCCAAATTTGGATTTCAGATGCACTTGATTGCACCTTTCTGCAACTAGAACATTTTGCCTTTGGACAAACGTGCACAGGGCTCGTTATTTATTTGTTCCGTTTATTATCTCCCTTTCGCTGTGAGCCAACGACAGTTGCCACTTTCTATTTTTCTCTGTTTCCCCTACTACGAAAACTTGATGGGGTTAAGCTGAGATGAGATGCACCGATTCGAGAGAGATGTCCTTTCAGTCTGCTCTTGACAGTAACACAGCTGACTAAAGCCAACTTATAAAAGAGTTGGCAGCCTGCAAGTGTGACAACATAAAACAAATGGAGGAAAACATAGGACACACCCCAACATTCAAGAGCATAGAGTGTGGGTTACAGATGCCAGAGAGGCACCTTGAAATGTTTCTTCTTTTATGTCTCATCATCCTTAACCGTTCCGTTCTCAACGGAATGCCAAGACACTTAAATGAATGTATGAATGCGTGTGGGTGAATATTTCTCAAGCTGTCCAAAATTGTAGTCTTAAGAAGCAGAAATGCTGAAGAGCCCCTATTTGAGAAAATAAACAAACAGCACCGCTCAGTCCGAGAGGGAACATATTAAAGCAAAAAATCATGGAAAAAAAAAGAGGAAAAGAAACAAATGGACAGACCTTAAGAGGAATCTCGGGCTCAAGTCTAGTAGCATTGCAGTGAGCTTTGGCTGCCCATCATGACCAATGGCCTAACTCTACACAGGTAGTCCTCCACTTATGACAACAATTGAGCCCCAAAATTTCCACTGCTAAGTGAGATGTCCGTCAAGGAGGTTCTGCTCAATTTTATCATCTTTCTGGACAGGGACGTTAAGTGAATCACGGCAACTGTTAGGTCAGTAAGGTGGTTGTTAAGTGAATCTGGCTTCCCCATTGACTTTGCTTGTCAGGAGGTCGCAAAAGGGGATCGCATGACCCCCTGGGACAATTGTCATGAGTCAATTGCCAAGCATCTGAATTTTCATCACGTGACGCTGCAAGGGGATGGTGCAATGGTCGTAAGCTTGAAAAACGCTTGTAAGTCACTATTTCCAGTGCTGTTGTAAACTTGAACGGTCACTAAACGAACTGTCTTAAGTTGAGAACTACCTGTGTGTGTGTTAACATTTACTGATATTGGGAATCAGGGAAAAATGGATTGATCACTCATGAACTTGTCCAGAAAAACTGACATTCCTTTTAAGGCAGGGTTAAGGGAACGGTGGCCCCTTTATGACTTGTGGAGTTCAACTCCCAGAATCTCTGAGCCAGCCGTGCTGGCTGGTCAAAAGGGCCCAGCAGAGATTATACTACCTGAGACTTCTCAGAAAAACAACAACTGAATGAAGAACTGCTGGTGACCTTCTACCGCTGCACTACAGACAGCATTTTAACATACTGCACCTCTGTATGGTTTGCCAATTGCACAGGGGCAGATAGGAAAGCACTCCAGAGGGTTAATGTCATTGCCCAGAGGATCATTGGTTGCCCTCTCCCCTCTTTGGAAGAGCTTCATAGCTCCCGCTGCCTTAAGAAAGTTCAAAAGATTTTCAAAGATCCATCTCATCCTGGGAACCCTTTTTTTGAACTATTACCATCTGGCAGACGGTACAGAACATTAAAAACAAGCACAAATAGGCTGAAAAACAGCTTCTATCCCAGGGCAGTAGCTCTTTTGAATTCTACTGTATCGTGCAATATGAATGCAATAGCAGGGGTTTTCAATTCAATGTATAGAATGTGAAGGATGTGTGTTTTGTTTATTTTCATAGTCATAATGTACACTGAAGATGGTATTTAATTTCATTGTATGAGGTGCAATGACAACAAACTAAAATAAATTAAACTGGGAATTGAAGTCCACAAGTCATAAAAGGGGCTATCGTCCCCCACCTCTGTTTTAAGGTCAACTGGAGGCTTTTATCATCCATACTGTCAGGATTCCGGCAGCTGCCCTAATTAAATCATGAGCCTCGAGCCAAGCTTGAAAAACTTCAAAGGATTTGCCAGATACATTTTTTTCCTCCTCCTCTCAACCAAAAGCCTTTGTTATAGGTCCTAGAGGCAACAGCCCAGTACCTGCCAGCTTTAAAAACAAAGCCTCTTGATGATGGATCTTTCCCTTTCCAGTGTTGTTTATGAGTAGCCGGCAGCAGCAAACATCGGACTGAAAGCTACATTTTCCAGCTTCCAGTCGGGGATGTTTACAACAACAGACTACAATTTCTTTGGAGTGCAGGGGAGGTCCATCTGGAAAAAGAGAAAATTAAAGGTGGGTGAAAAACATAATTTCAAGGTCTCCTTCAGCTCACATACTGATAACAGTATAGCAATAGCACCTAAATTCATATATAGCCCATAGGGCTTTACAGCACTCTCTGAAGTGGTTTACAAAATAAGCATATTGCCCCCAAAATTCTGAGTCCTCGTTTTATCGACCTCTGAAGGATGGAAGGCTAAGTCAACCCTGAGCCAGTCAGGATCGAACTGCTGGCAGTGAGCCCAACATTTCTGTTGCTAAGTGAGACAGCTATTAAGCGAATTTTGCCCCATCTGACAATTTTTCTTGCAACAGTTGTTAAGTGAATCATTGCAGCAGTTCAGTTGGTTGTTAAGTGAATCTGGCTTCTCCACTGACTTGTCAAAAGGTGATTCTAGGATACTGCAACTGTCATAAATAAGTCAGTTGCCAAGTGCCTGAATTTTGATTATGTGACCATGGAAATGCTGCGGTGGTCGTAAGTGTGAAAAACGGGTGTTACCCTAAAAGAGGACCTGACCTGGGGTGCCCACATGGCAGCACTGGTCAAAAGGACCCAGCAGAGATTATACTACCTGAGGCTTCTCAGAAAACAACAACTGAATGAAAAACTGCTGGTGACCTTCTACCGCTGCACCATAGAGAGTATCTTAACTTACTGTACCTCTGTATGGTTTGCCAATTGCACAGGGGCAGATAGGACAGCACTCCAGAGGGTTAATGTCATTGCCCAGAGGATCATTGGTTGCCCTCTCCCCTCTTTGGAAGAGCTTTATAACTCCCGCTGCCTTAAGAAAGTTCAAAACATTTTCAAAGATCCATCTTATCCTGGGAACCCTTTTTTTGAACTATTACCATCTGGCAGACGGTACAGAATAATAAAAACAAGGACAAATAGGCTGAAAAAGAGGTTCTATCCCAGGGCAGTAGCTCTTTTGAATTCTGCTGTATAATGCAGTGTTGGTGTGGTGTCGGGGGTTTTCGGTTCGGTTCAATGTGTGACAGTGTGTTTGTGTTTATTTTCATGGTCATGATGTGCACTGAAGATGGTGTTTGATTTCGTTGTATGAGGTGCAATGACAATAAAGTAAACTAAGTGTGAAAAACTAAGTCCTAAGTCACTTTTTTTTCAGTGCAGTTGTAACTTTAAACGTTCATTAAATGAACTGCTGTAAGGGGAAGAAATACCCGTACATTTAAAGCAGAAGACATTTTTCTGAACAGTGAAAAAAATGGGTACGGCGCCTTTTTTCTTCCTTGAAATATTTATTACTTCTTTAATGCTAAAGAACATATTTGAACAGTTCGTTAAATGAACTGTTGTAAGTCGAGGACTACCTATACGGAACTTATGGAAGTGGTTGTTATTGATATGATATTGAACGCACCACTCAATTTATGGTCTTGGTTGAGGGACATGATATTTAACTAGGGAAATTTTATATATCCAAAGACTCTTAAGAGCAACTTAGAACATTTTAAAGACAGGTGTGCTCCCCGTGGGAGATGGGAAGGAACTGGGTCACTAAGACTTTGGACTGGTTAAATAAGATCTTCGTTACTCCAAAAGTTTCCAAAGTTAAACTGATTTTTTTATGGTGCACATTGAATCAAGAGTATGTTATTACCTCAGACATAAAAGGCAAAAAACAGCAAATAATATGTCCAAGAAAAAATAATCCAGCATTTTCTGGAAAGCTTTTATCAGGATTATCTGATCACAAATACCTGAATCCTGCAATTTGTCTCCATATGGTGACCGGAGCCCATCTGGTATTGGTCTGTATTGGTTTTTTATGGTGTTATATTGTGACCAGCCTGGAGTCGGATTTGGAAGATGCCTAAATTGAATTAAATAAATACATTTCAATAAGTCACCATCACTTTATTGAGCCAGTTAAGTACAGTGCAAAACCTATATGGAAAAGAGGCGGAACTCATATCAGATGTATTAATTTTCAAGATCATCTTTAAAAAAAAAAAGAAGAAGAAGGTTAAGCAGGTGATGCATTTCCATTAACACGATGGCTTATTAACAAATGCAAGAAAAATAATATTTTAAAAACTCGAATCAAACTTATGGAACAGAACCCATTATTTGTCCTTGCCTAAATAATAAAGCACGGTGGTTTATTTAAATAAAGATTTTAGTCATTGAGTATAGACCAGGGGTGTCAAACTCAAGGCCCAGGGACTGGTTCCGGCCTGTGGGTGTCAGGATTCCGGCACGTAACCCCAGTTAAATCATGAGTCTCAAGCCAAACTTCCAAAACTTCAAAAGGATTTATGGGAGTTACAAGGTCCGGCACTGCCTGGGTGTAGTCAACTCTGAGATACATCATTCATTGTCACCCTTGACCCTGATTTTCCCCCACCTCCTGGGTGTATCATAATTCATATTCTCCAATGGGACACATCCATAGCCAAGAGTCATCGATCATGCTCTCCAGTTAGAATTTTGTGCAGCAAAAAACTTCGGTCACCTAGTTACTATCTTTGAAAACATTTACGGAATGCACTTTCGGTTTGCAAGCTGCTGCACTGCTCCCCCCTCCCTTTCTGTTGGCAACTCTAAAACGACCATAGAAATATTTTATGACTTGACGGTGGGATATTTAGATCTGGCACGCGGTGCTGCCCTGAAAACAGCGAAGGACTGGCCCGTGGTGCCTCTGCCAGAGAAAACAGAGCTCCCATTTTTGCTGGCAGAGGGTTGCAGGAAGCCGTTACAGCCAAAAAAGGAGCTTGTGAGCCCATTTTCGCTACTCGGGCCACCACTGGCACCCCCACGCCAACACAACCTTGATGCGGCCCTCAAAAAAATCGAGTTTGACACCCCTGGTGTGGAATATTTAGAATGGCATTTTGAGTAATGGAATGTGAGATAGGGAACATATGCTGATGTTTTGCTAGACGCCTTCACTGACTCACCTGGCATTCCTCTAATAAAAAAGAGAGACATTTGTTTTAAAAGCATCTCCCACCTCTTACAAGAAACCAAGCTGTGGTTAGGAGAAGAAAACTACACGCAGTTACGGATAAGAAACTGACTTTTATTAGCTTTTCAAGACAAAGAAGGAATCCCCAAAGGTATTTTTAGAACTGAGAACCTGGGAAGTTAAAGGGATTTTTCACACAAAAGAAAGCAGATGGTATGGAGCAAATCTGCCTGAGCGTGAAGGTTTCGTGGGTCTTTAGAACAGGATTGTTCACTTTTTCTATGCAAAACCAAAACATTATGGAAAAGAAGATTAGTTGGATGAAAAGCGAAACATCTTCAAAGAAAAACCAGAGTCCAGTTGCCTCTTGTAAAAGCACCTTTGGTGCAATCAAAAAGGTACGTTTTAACAAAGATTAGGTGCTAAGATTGCTGAATCAACTGATAAACAGTAAAACCAATTACCTGAGCAAGAATAAATAAGCAGACAAAAAACCCTGTTCATTCACACTTTCCTAAACCCACAAGTAGACTGCCCAGATACCATCTATATCGGGAGTCCCCAACCCCCAGGTCGTGGCCCGCAACCAGGGCGCGACCGATTCACAACCGGCCGCAGCTTGACTCATGCAAGTGGCAGGCTGGCGCACATGCACACAGCTCAACTTACAGTCCAGCTGTGTGTGCATGGATGTGCATACTGGCGTGCCACTCATGCAGCCCCGTTCCCTCCCCACCCACCCCAAGCCAGGCTGCCAAGCCGCAAAGGTTGGGGACCGCTGATCTACACAACAAAGGCAAGCCGACAAAGGAAGGGCAATTAAGATTGACCTTGTGACAGAGCCACACATTAGAACCAGTATGTGTACACATACACACACACACAAACCCCTCAAGACCCACCAAGACCAAGCTCTTTTATAAAACAATCCCTTTGGGCCTCATTTTCTCTGTAGCTACCCCCACTAGCAAACCTCTTTGGTTTTGGGGAATAAATAAATCTCCTTTCTTCACAGCCTATCTATCTGGATTTCATTTTGATTTGTTCTTGCGTAACCCCGTCTCAAGCTGGAAAGCCAAAGGATTGTTCTGACAAAAGATACAAACAATTATCAGGAGCAGAGAAGAGCAACAAGAATGATTGAGGGGCTGGAGAATACGAAGAACGGTTACAGGAATTGAGTATCTCTAGTCTAATGAAAAGAAGGACTAGGGGACACAGGATAGCTTTGTTCCAATATGTGAGGGGCTCCTACAAAGACAAGGCGGTCATATTATTTTCCAAAGCACCTGAAGGCAGGACAAGAAGCAATGGATGGAAACTAATGAAGCAGAGAAACATCCTAGAACTAAGGAGAAATTTCCTAACAGTGAGACCATTCAACCAATGGAACAGAAGTTGCCTTCAGAAGTCGTGGGTGCTCCATCCCTGGAGGCTTTTAAGAAGACGCTGGACAAGCCACTGGTCTGAAATGGTATAGAGTTTCCTGCTCAAGCAGGGGGTTGGACTAAAAGACCTCCAGGGTCCCTTCCAACTCTAATTATTCTGTGTTCTACTGTTGGAAGTTAAAACCTACCCCACTCGTAGAAAAATGAAATACTTAAGATATATTAAAAAGGCAGAATATTTCCCTTAAAAGAGAAGTAGAAACTCAGAAGCAAAAACTCACCCCCCCCATTTGTTAATAGGGGGGCCATTAAGGCCTGGGCCAGAGTATTCCACATAACAAAGCCCTTTACCCACCTCACCACATGGCTTGGGAAGATTGCATCAGCCAGCACTCAGGTGGTCCAGGCAAAGCCTACAAAGTTAGCTAAGACCCCCGCCCCTGGGAGTCTGACAGCCAATGGGATACATTTTTTGCACAGGAACAGGAAACAGTAAGGTGGGGCCCAACGGAGGGTATATAACTAAGGGTCTCAAAGCATCTTGTCCCTTCTTTCTTTTCCTTCACCCAACATCTTGAAGCATGGGACCGTCCTTTCCACTTTGGAGCTCCAAGCCATGTGGTCCTGGCCACCATTAAACCATCTTTCCAAGCAGTCACC